ATTGGTTTTCCCTTGTCCACTCTTGTTGTTACACCATCATAGAAAGCCACTAGGTTGGTGAGGCAGGACTTGCCCTTGGTGAAGCCATGCTGGGTGTCTCGAATCACCTCCCTGGCCTCCATGTGCCTTAGCATATCTTCTAGGAGGATCTGTTCCATGATCTTCCCAGGCACAGAGGTGAGGCTGACAGGTCGGTAGTTCCCAGGGTCTTCCTTTCTACCCTTTTTGAAAAGGGGCACAATGTTTCCCTTTTTCCAGTCACTGGGAACTTCCCCTGACTGCCATGACTTTTCAAATATCATGGAGAGTGGCTTGGCAACTACATCAGTCAGTTCCCTCAGGACTCTGGGATGCATTATAATGCTATGATACTTGCAAATATTATCAGCAATACAGCAAACCTGGTATATACTCATAGCAATTAAAAGGGAGGTCAACAGAAAAAATCCTAGGGTAATGACCTGTGTGTGCTTTAAGGCTTTTTTTTTTTTTTTAAATTTGAGCAGCTGTTAATGGATTTAGGAATAGCATAGTTATCAGACAGCTTAGAAGCAGCTTCTAAATGTTCTTGTCTGGGATGGCTGGGGAAGCAAATTGTCACTTAACAGCAGCCAAAGACACCTTTAGGCACTGCAGTGCAAAGTCATTTGGTTTTGTTGAGTTTTTTTATTGTTTGTTTTTATTTGTTTGGTTTTGGTTTTCGTTTTTTAAAGGGAGCAGCCAGGGTCCGGCTGTCCAGTAAGGAAGAAAAGCCGGGAGACCCAGGAGGGTCATGGCCCAGAGTGGGACATGCCCTCACAAACAGCACAGTCTCACAGAAGTTGAACAGATCGCCAGAGCTGGTGCTGATAACGGGGTCCACCAACAGTCCCAGACACAGCAAGTAATGAAACAAGTCACTGGATGGAGGGTCCATCCATGGGCTTCATTGATGAGGAGGACAAAAGGAGACAGGGCTAGAGACAAGGCTAGAGCACAGGTCCAAAGGGTCCATCCCTAGCAGATGGGCTACCTACAGTACAGGCCTGAGCTCCATCCAGCAGGCAGAAGTGGAGGCCAGTACTCCTACAGCATAGCTCAGACCAGGACCAGTAGCCCTGGGCTGACCTGAAATAGGCCTGCGGGCGGAAAGAAGATGAGGTCCCCAGGAGCAGCTCCTCAGGGATGTCAAGACCTATTAGTGCCCTGAAGCCCCTAACAATTTTGTGGTTTTCATGAGCCTTTACCTGTTTTCCAGTGCTGCTTTAGATTCTTGAAAATATTGTCCTCATCTTGAAGTATAACAGAGAAAAAGCAGAAATGAAGAATTAAAAGCAGCCGTCCTCTTTCAGGTGGCACGTTATCTTTTGATTCATCCCCATGATACAGGCATGAAGGATATGTCTCTCAGCAGAGTTCTTTGAGGAATATTCACAGAAAAGTCAAAATCAGATCCTTTACATCTCTACCAGGTCTCTAAACAGAAAGTATGACCAAAGACATTGAACATCTTCTCAACATTTTAGGACAGACAAATAGAACCATTTATGGAGGCAGCATCACAAGCAACAGAGACCTTTAACCTGAAACTAATACCACAAAGACCTATGATTCTATAGGAGGAGTAATCTATCTTATAAACATGTAAAAATAGCAGAACTAACAGGATAGGTGAGACATCTGTGTGAATTTGCTCCTGTTGATTGCAGTCGCTAAAGTCTTTCTCACACATAGCAGAAGAATTAAGCAGGGACACTTGTTGCAGATCTTGCTATAGCATAACATTTACAAATGAATAAATAAATCAGTATAGACCTTAACTGCTGTTTATTCAAAAAAAGCATTATTGAGTAATTTACTGGTACCGCATTTGCCAAATAAACTATGCGCAAGACAAGAAAGCTGCAATATAGTTCCAGTGGTAAATTACTTTTTATTTTACAAAAAATAGCTGCCTTGAAAAGAAATCAGATTAACATTCCCAGGTCTTTAGTCCTTCTGGTTTTTTTTAACCTCTCATTCTGGGAAATGAAAAAATCCTTAGCAATACAGATACATCATATTTCTTCATATCACTCAGCACAAGCTACAGCAAATGTACCCACAAATATTGAGGCCAATCACAGGCAATAAATTCAATCTATTTTACACATTGCTATGAAAAGTTGCAAGTTGCTGCTTGGTTTTCAAGGGCCTAGATGGCAGTGTAGTTCTTAGTGTAATTAGTCAATTTGATCTTCTCTGGGAAGATAATATTAACTGAGAGGTCTTCCTCATTGTTAGATTTCAGAAAAAAGTTCTTTTTCTTGCGCAGGAGACGACTATATTTGGCATTAGCAAGCCACATTTCACATTTTGAAAAAAACACAATCCCGGTTGTACCCAAGACAACAAGACAGGTAAGCAAGCCCAGTACAACAAAACATATCACCTGGCTTCTACTGAGCAAGGGATCTACATTTTGGATTGTTTCTTTCATTGTTATTTTCAGGATTTCTTGTTGATGCACTGATCTGTGATGGGCTTTTGAGGCTGGCTTGTAATTCTGCATATGCTTTGTCTCCATATTCACTCCAGAAAGACTTGTGTTTTTGCTGGGATGTTTGCAGGTCACACCAACGAATTCTGGTTTACAGATGCATTCGAATCCTCCTTGGTGATGTTCACTGCATGTCCCTCCATTCTCACAAGGGCCACTTGCACAGAATATGACACGGCTGCTGCAGAGCTTTCCTGTATAGCCATGGGGACAAAAACAGCTGAAACCCACACCAATATCTGTACATGTTCCTCCATTTTCACATGGGTTGGATTCACAGTCATCTCTATCTATTTCACAGAAGTTGCCAGCAAAACCAGAAGGGCACAGACAGGAAGCATGTGGTGCAAAACCATTGTCATCAATGCACGTTCCTCCATTCTGGCAGGGAGAGCTAGAACAGACAACGAACACATACAGAGAACTGAATTGAAGTCAAACGAAAGAAGCTAGTAGGAAACCATATAAGACAAGGAGCCGGTTTTCTTTAGAACAGACCATTCCAAATGCAAATCCACTGAAGCCAATGAAATTGAATCAAGAATGAGTTTGCTAACAGCTTTGTCAATACAGATTATAATATATTCTGCTGAGCCTTCGGGCAGGATTAGTACACCAGTACATAAATTCAACCTGAAGAGCTGTGAAGGGATTGTAAATTATTTCAAACATCTATTAAAATTAAGCTTCCCAGTGTTTTCATATGTTTAGAGCTATTTAGCTGAGCAGCTATTCAGACAGACTGAACAAAGACATGCATGCAGCATGGCTTTCTTTTCCACCCGATT